TTTATCGTTTTTTTTTAACAGCAGCAGAGCCGCCGGACAATAGAAAACTATTGGGCGGAGCTAGCTGTCACTGCTAGCTCCGCACAATCGTTTGCTCTTTACTTTTTTTTACTTCACTCTTTTTCTGTTATGCTCGGTCCCTCTGAGGGACCGAGCAGAACAGCCAAGCCGAATGGGGTTAGGGCTTTTCGCCTTTGTTCTCCTAAGGGTAACAGGAGGACACAAACTAGCGTCCTCCCGTCACCCATAGCTTCTGCCCCCATGTGCTCCAAGATGGAGACTCTCATAGTTTAGAGTTAGGACCGCACTATAAGAGGTGCCTTGGCGCGGCAGTGCGGCTTAAACATCCTTTGCAGAAGACGTGTATCCAAACCTCTGTCATTGTCCTTAGTGGTGAGACAAGTTGTTTTACATGCTGGTTTGTGAGTGTGCCATGGTGCCTTTCTACTGTACCATAGCTCAGTATACCGCGAGCTACAGCTCGCGGTATATTGAGACTCCGCAGCCAGAGCGGATCCCGACAATTGTGCCGGGATCCGCCCAGCTGCGTAAGTGACAGCTGGCTCTGCCTATCTAGAGGCAGCGCTGGAGGATCGGACAGGGGAGGAGGAATCTAGTCCCTCCTGCCGGCACAGGATCGAGAAGTGAGCGAGCATAGGTATGTGTTCGCTCACTTCCCGGTCTACTGAGCCGAGCTGTGACAGTTTCATTGTCAAAGGTCGGCTCAGATTATGAGGCTGAGTGAAATCACTCACCTCATAATTCTCCTTTTTAAAGTGTATTTTCACTTTTGCAGTCACATTTAGGAAAACCCCCTCTATATGTTCCTATTCACACAGCATGCTGAAAACTAACTTTTAATAAAAACATTTCTTACCTTTTTTTTTTTTTTAGATGTTTTGTTAAAGCAGGCAACATGGCTGATTCCAGGTTTTTCTTAGCTGTTTCATAGTGGTCTGTCCTTTTATAGAAAGAATTGGGACTGAAATTTTAGGATTGTGTTTATCTGATAAGGTTCATTAGCATACAATGGACAAGCCACCTTAGACCCCCTCACAGCCCCTCCTAACATTTCAATGAAATATAAGCTAGAAGAAATGTTAACCCTTAAAACCCTAACCCAACTATTTATACTGCAAGTAGCATTTATTTTTAGCATGTATTTTGTGATTGGTACCCTATAACAAATATAAAATGGGTGTTATCCCAATTTGGCTGCAAAAGTGGAAATACACTTTAAATCCTTTGTTTAGACAGGCAGTGCCAAAATCTAGTTTACAATACATAATGAAACCTGCCAGCATGGTACAGACAGGGTTAATTAGAGTAAACATACCTTGGCACAGCCAAGAATGTTCAGTTCAACCTATATATATATATTGTATGTGTATGTAATCAGCTATGTGCATGCAGTTGTCTGTTTTACCTTTTTTTTTTTACTAGCTTTTAAGGTTTTGCACGATGGTGCAGTGGCAGAGAGTAGGATTGTGTGTCAGTGTAGTGGCAAAGAGTAGATGCATTGGGAGTAGTGATGGGGGTGAGTTATTGCATGTCATCAAGTTTGCATTGGAGGAGGGGCGGCAAAAGGGGTCTTGTGCAGTGGCTGCGAGCAGGGTCTCCATTTCTGAGCTTCTCAAGCATGTACCTGGGTACAATTTTTATATGGATCTGACTTGCAGAGAAACTTGGTGTATGATTGGCATTTTGATATTATCCCAATCAGTTGTTTCTTTACTGATTTCTCACAATAATAAATGTATCTTCTGTTTTAATTAGGGTTATGCAACAAAAACTAAATTTGGAATACGTGGTAAATCTGCACGTGAAGGGATAAAGGAGGCTGCTTTTGAGCCATCAATGGAAACAGCAGCTCGTTGTAAGTAATACTGGCAACAGTCATACCTTGTCAGAGAGGACCTGTCGCCAGACCTCACTTGTTATTTTAAACACTTGCAGCAGTAGAGAATAACTATTTACAGATGCCCCAGTGGTTCATTAGGCCTCATTCACACGAGAAATGGGCGGCACGTACAGCTCCGTGCATGGCCGTATCGTGCAGCTCCTGGGAAGGACAGGTGCTGCGTGTGATTAGTACACAGCCCCTGTCATTCTCTATGGGAGTATGCAGCTGCACGCCACCCTACGCTCACCCCAAGTGCGGGTGTCCCGGCTCGGATGCAGACAGGATCTATCCTGTCAGCGTGCGAGTATTGACACCCGCACGCATATGCAGGGCGGGTGAGTGTAGGGCAGTGTACGCCCGCGTAGGGGGAATTACGGAGCTGTACGTGCCGGCTGTTTCTCGTATGAATGAGGCCTTAAAGGTGTGGGTTTTTTTTTCTGTTTTTTTTTCTATTTCTGAGCCATGTGAGTTTTGCAATGATCTTTTAGACGTGTTGCATCCTTGTCTATTCCAGCCCCAAGTTCTACTTCCCTTTTAGGACAGGAAAGAGAAGATTTGTCTGGGCCTTTTTATTAATTTACTGAACTCCTGGTGGAGTAACAGGGGCTTTCTGTATTAACTAGGCACCTAGGACCTTACCTGGCTAGCTTGCCTTTCTGGTGCACAAGGTGGCCTTGCAGGCATTCGCTTCACCATCAGGGGCCCTTGTAGCATCTCCTCTACCTGGTTCAGGGCAAGAAAATAGCTTGTTCTGGCCACCTTTGCATATAGCCTTCTGGTAGAAGAGACTGTACAGCCTTGTCCTGCCTCATGGGATTTTTGGGAGAGCCAAGCAGTTGTAATTCAGGTCTGTTGAATGCAGAACGGGAGTGATGTTTTTCCCCACACTTTTTTGCCCCTGGGATAGTTGTCCCTGGGGACAAGTGGTGGATGTGGCAAATAAGCTTGTGGTCTACTTTGCTCTCGAGTTGCTGAGGGCAATCATCCTGGTAACATTTGTGTCCTTTGCTGTCCCCTCTGTGTGCATTCCTAACTTAGAACGCATCTTTTAACACTGAGTTGAAGTAGATTCCTTCCTTGTCTTCCAGTTGATGCAACAGGAAGATTATTTGTTGCTGGAGGTGCTGCTGTTGGTCTTGGAGCACTGTGTTACTATGGCCTTGGGATGTCCAATGAAGTTGGTGCAATTGAGAAAGCAGTGTAAGTTGTGAATGATCAATAACTTTTTTATTACCTCAGTTTCTAGTTTTTAGCAAAAATCAAGCTGATATTTAACAACCATATGTTTTATTAACATGGTAGGGAAATGATGGATTGGATTCAAAGAGGTAGGTGCACTAATGACTTGCAGTCTGATTAATTTAACCCATTGATTGGCAAGGACGTGCACTGCATGTGGCAGTCAGTGGGTTAAAACAAGCTCACGGGGATAGCAGCCCTGAACTTGTTATCCCAGCTCTGCTCTTTAATGTGGAAAATAATCTGATCACTTCTACATACCAGAGAATGTGCGACACAACAGAAATGGGATTATATCGTATTGGTGCAGTAATGGATTTTTACTGAAAATGTAGGTTATATTAACTGTTGTAACAGCCTGACATAAAAATTACCTTGTTATTGTACAGCAGGGACGCCCACAATTTTTCATCTGGAGATCTACTTTTCAAATGACGAGCTCAATGACATCTACCAATGAAAAAACACCTGCGGGAGGGGGCGGGGCGGTGGATTGAAGTCAATGGCACTGCAGCCAGGCCCCTCACCCACAGTGCGACCGCCTGCATCCGGAACCCAGGCACATTAGTGCCTGCGTTCCGGTCCACTGCGATCTGCGAAAATGCAGTAAGCACTATTTTTGCAGGTGACACTGGACCGGAATGCAGGCACTAATGTGCGGGCAATCGAACTGTGGGCAGGGGACATGGCTGCGGTGCCCCCTCCCGCCCCTGAACGCAGGGAGTCAGCCGGCTTGCATTCTAGTGCGTTCTAGAGGTGCTGACGTCCTATCCTCCCGTGGTGCTCATGTGGCCGACGTTGCACATGGGGAGAGGTGTCCCGCCCCTTTCCGTCTGCGGCGTCTGGCACATGCAGCCGCACAAGCACCGCGGGAGCATAGCCGTAGCCAGCTCCTTTTGCGCACGTGGCAAGAAAAAAAAAAGGTGCCCCCCAACAGGCATGTGACATCACCCAGTGTCCTGCCTCCAGGATTTTTTATTTTATTTTTATTTCTTATTTAATTGTTTTGTTTTTTTTTTTAATTGTTTTTTTTTTTTACTGTTGGGTGTGCTTCGGGGGAATATTAGGGGTCTAAACAGCCCCCTGATATTTCCCTTTTTAAAATAGAAAAAGAAATTGACACAAAAAAATATTTTACTATCATCCAGTTTCTGAATGTGGAGGAGCCTCTGTAGTGAGTTCTTCTCCCCATTGCGGAACTCATGAATGAACAGGAAGTGATGTAAATCACATCCTGTTCATTCATAACTGTGGACACATAGTATTATGTGTCCCCAGTTTTTTACAAACACTGTCTGTGATAGCGATTATCTATTAACCCTTTTACCAGACAAAGAATTTTGTATTTCTGTCCATCTGGTTCTAAGATATACACAGCCGTACAGCACAGTCCTGTCTGGCAGGACAGAAGTTTAAAGAGAATCAGCAGATTGATGAGCTCATCTGTCACTGCTTTCTCCCTATATCCGCATGCCCCTTGTTGGCACATAAGTACCGCAACACAACTGGTTGGCTCCTTGTGTTGCTTCCTTTCCTCTTTCCTTCCACTGCTTATGTCTTAAAAAAAAAATTAAATTATGATTTAATAATACAGTGTTGCATACATTTGTGTCTTACATCTGCCTGGGGTTTGGCTTTACCTAAGAGAAGTCTGTTAAGTTAGTTTTTGCTTTATAGGAGTATGCATGAGAACGGAGTAGAGGAAAGGCATTGAAACACCTTAAGCTCCTAGAGTTTTCCTCTTTGTATGCCTGTTTTATATTAAGGATATGATGCGTTTAATTACTGTAATTTTAAGCTCTTCCTGTCCAAGTTCTAAGCCCTTAATTAAGCTCTTCCTGTCCATGCTCTTCGAATCCAGTTCTAAGTTCTTTATTAATTTCTCTGAATAATCTGCTATTAGGAGAAAAAAACACTACATTTGTATGAATTGGTTTGTGGTTACTAGAACTATCTGCCATTCTCATTCATAGTATGGTAGGTTATAATACTGTCTATGACTACATTCTGTTAGTACATGAGTAACCGCATGGTTGATAAAGCATAAGCTTATTCTTTCTATATCCATATGTGTTTTGCAGCATTTGGCCTCAGTATGTGAAGGATAGGATTCGTTCCACTTATATGTACTTTGCTGGCAGCATCGGTCTCACAGCCTTGTCTGCAGTTGCTGTTAGTAGATCTCCAGCTTTGATGAACCTCATGATGAGAGGATCCTGGCTGGTAAGCTTACAAAAAGATTTGAATATTAGTTTGCATTTAATTTCACAGGGGGACATTTGTCATCTCGGTAGTCCTCTGCCATTTGCTACCCAATCTTTTTTTTGCACATTTGTAAATGTACTTTGGAAGAAACAAAATTGGTGGTGAATGTACTTCGCATTGTTTATTTGCTCACCCTTCACCATGTGCTATAATTCCTGGGAATGTTTTATGATTTATTGCTTGGGTAACCAAATCAGACATCAGTGTTTTTATGATGGCGTGCATTTCTCGTCTTCTAGGCCATCGGAGCAACATTTGCAGCAATGATTGGAGCTGGTATGCTGGTTAGGTCAATATCTTATGACCAAAGTCCTGGTGCCAAGCACCTAGCTTGGATGCTACATGCAGGTATGTAATATGATGGGGGGAAAAAAACCTGTATGCAGTTGTACATACTGATAACAAAATCATTGTATTTACTGGCCAAGGGAAAACATTTTTTATATAATATATTTTTTTATTTTTTTTTGTAAATTCAAGCATGTTTGAAAAAAAAAGAGATTCAATGTAGAGCTTTCTAATTCGGAACACTTGAACCCTTTGTCACAATGCTCTTCTAAATATTAAAATGTTGTGCATGTCTTTCGGCAGGTGTAATGGGAGCTGTGGTTGCACCATTAACATTACTTGGTGGCCCTCTACTTGTCAGAGCTGCATGGTATACAGCTGGCATTGTAGGCGGATTGTCAACAGTAGCCATGTGTGCCCCAAGTGAAAAATTCCTGAATATGGGTGGAGCACTTGGTATTGGTTTGGGTCTTGTTCTGGCATCATCTATTGGTAAGTAGTCTTTGTCTGCATTTTGGAAAAGTCATATCATTTTACAATGGAAATGTGTCTTCTGCTTGCGATTCATGTGACCCCCCCCCCACACCCCCCCATGTTTTTTGTCCACTGACATTATTATATGTAAAATATATGGTTATAAAGTAAATGTAAGCCAATACTGTAATTGGCTTTCATTTGCTATGAATTACAACAGAAGTACAGCTCGTGTTGCACTTTAGTTTCTGACATGCGTTTTCCTCTTACTCTTGTAGCCAAAGCTTTTAACATATTCTTCTAATAAAGCATGTTTTAATAATGTCTTCTCTTTCGTTTTTTATTTTAGGAAGTGCATTCCTTCCACCAACATCTGTTTTTGGTGCTGGTATGTACTCAATTGCTGTTTATGGAGGCCTAGTTCTGTTTGGCATGTTTCTATTATACGACACACAGAAGGTTATGCATCGAGCAGAGTCTACACCCATGTATGGTATGCTGAAATATGACCCTATCAATTCGTAAGTATCCAGAAGATACATTGCTTTGTTTTCAACTGCTGAAAGTTCTATGCCACTTGGAAGCCAGTATCGACATTGTGGTTGTGTGGGGTAGGGATGCACCAAAATTTCGGTGGGCCAAAAGGATACTTTGGGTAAAATGCTGAAAGTTCCATAACGGTACTTTTCGGTAATTCATTGCATCTCCGTGCGCCGGTCTGTGTCCAATCCAATGCCCACTGCTCTCCCCGCCTGTGTTGGCAGAGAATCCGAGGGGACGCAGACCGGCGTCTAACTAGGAAAAGATAAGCTTTCAGGAGGTCGAGCGGGGAGGAGACGCCTCAGGATGCGGTGCGGGGAGAAGTCAGATGTCACTGGAGGCCGAGCTCTCCTCCCTGCACCACCCGCTAAGCCTCATGTGAAAGCGAGTGAGGATGGAGAGCGGGTTGCAGACACTCAGTGAGATCGGCCGATCCCTGAGTGATGGTAAATAACTGAGTACATAAGTATACTTACTGCATCCCCAGTTATGAATGAACAGGAAGTGTTCTACATCACTTTCGGTTCATTCATGATTGTAGACCTAGTAACTGATATTATCTCAATTTATGAATGGACAGGATAGAGACTTGGTATAGAGGCTTCCTGTTCATTCATAACAGGGGCTGCAGAAAGATTTAAGACTGTTTCCTTAATCCCCTTTTCTATTTTAAAAGGGAAATATCAAGGGTTTGTTTAGATATTTCACCGAAGCCCCCAACGGTAAAGTAAAAACTAGGGCTGGTACTGATTAAAATTTTCGTGTTCGATTAATCGACTAATTTCGATTAATTATAACGCACATACAGATCCAACTACTTTTAGCTGATCTGCTTGCATTAGTCAGTGGTAAATGTAATTTAATATTATATATAACATTTATTCTAATATTTGATAATTAGTGAACATCCACAAATACAAGAAACAGGGTTTTTTTTTTTCCATTTATACAGCTGACCCGGCGGAGTCAGCGGTGTCGCAGGAGAATGAGCTCTTCTCCCTGCACTGCCTGCTGAGCCTCCTGTGACAGCAAATCGGGATGGAGAGCGGGTTACAAGTGCTCAGCTATCAGCTGCATTTGTATATGTAAATAATTGAGGACATAGTATGCTTGCTGTGCCACCAGTTATGAATGAACAGGAAGTGCTCTACATTGCTTTCTGTTCATTCATGATTGTGGACACCGTAACTCATACTATATCCACAGTTTTTATGAAAGAACAGAAGCACTCGGTATAGAGGCTTCCTGTTCATAACAGGGGCTTAAGGAAAAGAGATTGAGGACTCTGTCTTTTTATCCTTTTTTTTTTTTTTCAAAATATTCTAATATTTCCCCCGAGCCCCCAACAGTAAAGTGAAAAAATAAAAAAAAATTAAAATCTTTTAAAAAGGTTAGATAATTTACGGTTTCAGCCTGACAATTGTTTTATTATGTATGACAGCCCCAGAGCATACACCTTCAAAAACAAATCGGTAGTCGCAGCCCCATATTCCTTTGCTGTCTGTTTTTTTTTGTTTTAAAGTTGATAGTTATCCTGGACAGTTATCTTGTTGAATGAAATGTTACAAATTCTGTAGAATGCAATGAGCATTTGAAGGGAGATAACAATAAATGTTTTGTCACATCATGGAACTGTGCATTAGTTTAGAAAGTGAAATCCTTTGTTGTGTACTTTGTGTTTTTGACAATGTATTTTTCGTGAAACCTAGAGTCTCATAAACGCACCTCATCATGCTGTTGAATTTTCATTTGTAGATGCCTGGGAATTTACATGGACACCTTGAACATCTTCATCCGTGTAGCCATGATGCTGGCCTCTGGAGGTGGAAACAAGAGGAAATGAATCACCACAGCAGTCATAATCACTTATTGATTGCCTAGAGCACTTTACTCAACTCCTGGACCATAAACGCGTGCTAATATGAACATCATCAACAAGATTATGTTTATATGGTGGGATATAACCACAATTGTGTTGATTGAAGCTATTTGGGATGGCTTTACTTTGAATAAACACACAATTCATGAGTATAATTTAGGTAAGCATTAAGTGGCACAGAACTATTCATTTCTTCAGCTATAAGAAACAACTCGGAATAGAAGGTGCAGTGTAAAACTATTTTACATCTTGAAATTAAATTGCACGGGTAAACATTGTATCTTCAGAAAAATGCCTTTTACTCTGTGTGGGATGCTGAGCTTGAGAAGATTTGTTTGCAATTTTCTGTTAGTAATAAAAAGTAATTTATATCCAGGCAATACATTTAAAGCATATTTGCAGAGGCAGTAGCCAAGCATTCATGCCTATCTTACAATAAATTGTATCCCTTTCAATCTTCTGAAACTGCTTTGAAAATAAAAAATACAGAAAGAGATCTCACTGCAGTGGTGGAGCAGTCATTCATGCAGATACAGTGTTGTAAAATTTAGGCTACCAGGAGACTCATTCCTTGGTGTTCACTAAAGCTGGTAAAAATATTCCAAACATCTGCTTTGGTGTAGACTTTATAAATTGTTCACTGGGGGGTCTGTAAAAAAATTACTACATGGAGGATTCGGCATTTCACACTGAACAAACTTACCAATGACTTCTGAAAGTTTTCTGTTTGTATTGTTATTTAAATGTATTATACTTGAATGGCTAATAAATTTTTTGTTTTTTTTTCTGAGTGGTATGGTATGTTTTCAATAATCCTTGTTCCATTATTTTATTTTTGTAACCTCTGCTTGTCACATCCAGCCTGTTGGCTGGATGTGCTCACATACAGTGCAATTAAATAAAAAGCAATGATTGAAAATTTTTAGAAAGGCGGGGCTCTGTTTTTAACTGAGGGTAGCTCCGCTTTGCCAAGATTTTAGGCCACAGGGTATAGCTGCTAGAGCCATACAAAGCTCTCTCTGCTTAATGGAGCAAAGTGAGCTCTGTAATTGGTGCGGCCATACCACTGCTTTATAAATGTGCCCCTGAAAGAGGAACTTCACTTGCCTACCCAAAACAAAAATTGGCTGTGCCAAATGCCTGTCGCTATAGCATATAATAAAAACACAAACTTGCTTGCCATGTAGTCCAGAGCTCTCTTCACATTAAGGCTTCCACATTGTTTTTCTTCCATGCTGCCACCTTGGATTTGGGAGCTGGCTGTCACTTTCTGTAGTTCTGCACGGCTCACCGATAACACACTAGACTGCCCTGAAGCCTCCTGGGATGTGTGACCTGGTCCCCTGGGGATGCTTTGTATACTGCTCTGGAGCCTCCTGGGGTGTGTGGCCTGGGTCCCTGATGACACACTGTAGACCAGGGGTGCCCATAAGGTCGATCGCGATCTACCAGGCGATCACTGGTAGATTGCGTTGTCCTCTCCCGCCGGTGGGGCTTCTCTGGATCCCTGCTGCTCTCCCCATCTGTATGCAGTGGGGATCCGAGAAGAAGTGAAGGAACTACTGCAGTCGGGGGGGAGGAGGGAGCCGCTCGCACAGAAGGAAGGCAGAGCAGTGAGGAGAGAGAAGCTCGGCCAGGATCTGACAGCCGGCGCCGCTCTCCCCTCACCGCTCGGACTAACTTCTGTGACAGCGACTCCACCCCCCACCCGCGTCTGAAGTGCTTCTTTAACTTCTCGGATCCCCCTCTGCCCGGGAGAACCGGGGGGGATCCAGAGGAGAAGCTGAGCCCCCGTGTGCGTGGCCGAGCGGCAGAGGATCAGTACATATCAGTGATATGTACAAATCCTCTGCAGGAATCACTCCAGTGTTTGTAAATAACTGTGTCCCCAGTTATGAATGAACAGGATGTCATTTACATCACTTCCTGTTCATTCATGAGTTTCTCAATGGGGAGAAGCACTCTGTACATAGGCTCCTCCCCATTCAGAAACTGGATGATAGTAAAATATTTTCTGAATGAATGGGAAGCCTCTGTGCTTTCCATTCATTTAGAACAGGGGTGCCCACAACTTTTTGTGTTTTAAGATCTACTTTTCAAATGGCAAGCTACATGAGGTCTACCAACGGAAAAAAAAACCTCCCTCGCTCTCTCTCCTGGCTGTCTCCTTGCTCATCCTCCTGGCTGTCTTTCCTCGCTCTCTCCTGGCTGTCATTCCTCATTTTCTCGGCTCTCTCTCTTGGCTGTCTCTCCTTGCAATCACCCCTGGCGCTCTCTCCTGGCTCACCTTGCTGTATTTTGCAAAAAGTGCAGTGCAACGGGCTGTGTAAACTAATATTCTTTGATGTGATACATAGCATTTCAACCACCAGAAAGGTGTCAGGGAGCTTGGCTCAGCAGACTCAGGCTAATAGGTAATCATGTGTGCACAGCTAAATGAATATACCAAAATGAAATAAAGGGGCCACCATTCACACACTTCGTGATGCTTTGAGAGCTACTGGTAGATCACGATCTACCTAATGGGCACCCCGATTTAGAACAAAGGCTGCAGAAAAAGAGTGAGGATTTTGTGTCCTCAATTTCTTTTTCTATTTTAAAAAGGAAATATTAGGGGGCTGTTTAGACCCCTAATATTTCCCCGAAGCTCCACCAAGAGTTTAAAAAAATTAAATAGTAAAAAATCCTTGAGGCAGGGCGCTGGCTGACATCACACGCCTGTTGGGGGAGGCATGTTTTTTTTTTTTCTTGCCTCGGGAGCAAAAGGAGTTGGCTTCGGCTGCGCTCCCGCAGTGCTCGTGCGGCTGCCGGCTGAATGTGTCAGACGCTGCAGATGGAAAGGGGTAGGACACTTCTCATGTGCAACGTCGGCCACATGAGCACCATGGGAGGACAGGATGCCGTGGCCTCTAGAACGCACTGGAATGTAAGCCCGCCGACTCTCTGCGTTCAGGTGCGGGAGGGGGTGTGGGGTTGTATTGAAATCAATGGCACCGCAGCCCACAGTGCGATCACCCGCACCCGGAACGCAGGCACATTAGTGCCTGCATTCCGGTCCAGTGCGATCTGCAAGAATAGTGCTCGCAGCATTTTTGCGGATTGGACTGGAACGTAGGCACTAATGTGCTTGGGTTCCGGGTGCAAGCGATCGCACTATGGGCGAGGGGCCTGGCTGTGGTGCCATTGACTTCAATGCACCGCCACGCCCCCTGCCGCCCCTGAATGCAGGTGTTTTTTCGTTGGTAGATCTCTCATTGAGCTCGTCATTTGAAAAGTAGATCTCCAGACGAAAAATTGTGGGTGCCCCTGCTGTAGACTGTCCAGAAGCCTCCTGGGATGTGTGATCTGGTCTCCTGATGTTTTGTAGACTGCCTTGGAGCCTCCTGGGGGGTGTGCCCTGGTCCCCTGATCATGATTTGTAGACTGCCTTGGAGCCTCCTGGGTTGTGTGTCCCGGTCCCCTTACACTGTAGACTGTCCTGAAGCCTCCTGGGATGTGTGACCTGGTTCCTTGATAATGCTTTGTAGACTGTCCTGAAGCCTTTTGGGATCTGTGACCTCTGCCCCAAGATGGCATGTGCGTGAGCTTTAGGTTGCAGAAGATTGTCCTGAATCTTTCTGGGATGCGGGATTTGAACATCCCAGGATTCTGTGGGCAGCTGGGAGCTGCATCATTTTCGCTTAGGTGAAAAATAAGCAAGTGGAGATGACATTTTCAGAATGTACCTTGCTGTATCACATGAGATTTGTAGATGGCTTAATCTACAGAGGCCTCAGCCCAGATTTGATAATTTAATATGAGTCGCCTGTCTGTATAATGATACTTTTAGCTGACAGTTTAATTGGGATATCATAAAAATACATTTTTATAAGGCTGTTAACTGTGAGAAATTATGCATCTAGGGTTGCATTGGTTATTTATGAAAGCAGACAGTGTTCCTTAAAACCTTTTGTATGTTGATGGTTTTCTATTCTTGCCTATGCTATTCATCAAGTTGTGTTGCAGGCAGTTTAGAACCCACTAGATCTTGTCTTGTGATAACATTTAAAACAAATATATCTTATTTATATTGTGTATGGTTGATCACATTTGATTGATGCTATCTCACATTAAAATATCACTTCACACTGATAATGTATGGGATTGCTTCACAAGGAGGTAATTTTAATAACTCCAAATTCGATAATTCATTGTGTTGGATGCTATCTTCAAATGATAGATGATCCAGTAGTGTTTAAATAAATGTCACCAGTTGTTTTGTTGATATATATTTTTATAAGCCTTTATTATATTCTTGCTTGAAGAATAAATTGGTTCTTATTCTTCCTAATATTAGTACTTTTGTTGTATTGCATGAAAAATAGTGTGTTTTTGGAATGGCTTGTTCTTGTAAATTGGAATTTACACTACCCATGCACCCCTTTTCACTTATAGACTGTTTCATATATGGCAAATCCTTCTTTCACCTATCCTTCATATCTTCCCTTGAGTGCTTGCCATGTTGGTGAGCTATGGTACCAAGCTTATGATTGCACTTACATTCCAATTTGAAATATTTAATATCCTGAAGGTATATAGCAAATATAATCAAATTATTTATATTGGATAAATTAAACTATAGTTGTTCATATTTTCAGTTTTTGGTAAAAATAGTCTGAAAAGTTATTTCTATATTATCTTTGTATTTACTGATTTGACTAAGATAACCTGTTAACTTAGGGGAAGGTGGACCTAAAGGAACCAAAAAGAAAACTTCCTCTAAAATGCAAAGGAGGTAATTTACTAAAACTAGAGCATTTGCCCATAGTAACCAGTCAACTTCTATTTTCAGTTTGTTCAGTTAAGCTTTCAAAAATGAAAGAAGCCGATTGGTTGCTGAACTTCATTATTTGTGCTTTGCTAAACCAATATACAGCTTCCAACTCCTCCTCTTCACTCTTCATGCACAACTGCCAATCTTACAGATTTATGGAGTATTCTGCAGGTGGATTGCCATGACGGCCCTTGGATTGTGCATGCATGAATGACCTTGCATCTCTGTGGGTAACTTTAGTCTCTTTGCTGAAATAAAAATCTGTTGAAAGATGAGCAACATTGTATTGTGTGTAGGACAGAAAACCTGTGCTCCCATATCCACATCTAGTTCTGCTCCCCTTCTAAAGGCGACCATAACCAAAGTATTTTATTATGGTCACTCGTGCCTTCCCACACACTGTGGGGGACAATGATCCGCTTCACCAGTAGAAGATATCTCGGCTCCTCTGGTAACACTGCACTCAGAAAAGAAGATGAAGACACATATAGTCCCGGCTTAAAAACAGTTATTTAAAAATGTATGTGCCATTAGGGCATGGTATAAATGTTACACACATATACACACGTTTAGCTTGGATGGTCAGTCACAATAATCCAAAATGTAAAAAATAAATGTACCAAAACAATTAAGTTACAATTAACGTCTCCTGTATGGCACTAATCAAGTAC